CCCCCCAGCAGACACTCACGGAACTCTGGATGGGCTGGGTTGGAGAAGAAGACAATGCCGGTGCTGGTGGCTACAGCTCCTGCTGCAACCACAGGGTCCACGAGCTCAGGGTCGAAGGTCACGTCCCGGGGCCTCAGTGTATCACAGGCGTCGTAGCTGCGGAGGACGATTCGGCAGCGGCAGTGGTAGTTGTTCTGGTTCCGGGCATTGATGACAACTGAGCCATCTGGGAGCTCATACGGCTGAGGAGAGAGAACAGAGCTTCAGAGAGACCCAGGGAGGCAGCTGAGCAAAGGGCCCTGTCTCTGAGCCAGCAAGGCTGGTGGCACAGCTGGGAGCCGGACCCTGGCTCTGTGAGTGAGTTGGTGCTCTAGAGGCCAGGGCAGGTGGAGTGGGCATGGAACAGCCCATGGACTCCTGACCTGGCACTCATCAGGGTTGAAATCATTTTCCCGCTTGGGCTGGCCGTAGGGGATGCCGCTGACCCCACTACCATAGCGCCAGGAGGCGCCGTGGTCATCGCTGAGGAGGCAGAAGACCCCGTCCCGTTCCAGCGTCCCGTGGCCACACACGATGAGCCGACCCTTTCGTGGCTCCCGCTGTTTCTGTGGGAAAGGGAACTGGGTGTCAGAGGGAGACACTGACAGGGGCTCAGAGGCAGGGAAGGGGAACTTACCATGTCCTAAATGTGAGGACATATATGGTCCCCTGCAGTTCTTGCTTGCTGAGGGTCCCAGATGGACCTCACAAACAGCCACTACCTGAATTAAGAAGCTCTTTTGCAGAGTAAGCTTCTTTGCGACATCCAGGACTTACACTGGACAGGTTGTACCCTGGACAAGAGGGCCCAGCCACTGGCCTGGGAGGCAGTTCAATCTTACACCTGGCGTGCTCAAAAGCACCAAGCTGTGGACCATGGCACAGACTGTCCGCCCAAAGGAAGGGATGTTTTCTTCTAATTTGCAGCCCTGTTGAGAACTGCTGAGTGGGAAGTTCCGTCTTCCCATGCCTCCCAGGATGTCCCTTTCTTCCATGGGATCCCATCTAAGATAGCAACTCTGACTTCATAGGATCTTCTCCTTGGGAAGGAGTCCATTTGGGTGCATCTCCCAGACTCTCCACCAGGCAGCCCCCTTCACCCATCACAGGACAGAGACCTGAATGCCAGAGCCCGGTCCAGGGGCAAACATCTCGGTGCCGATATCCATGGAGAGGTTCCGGGGTGGGCTCCAGGAGACACCGTCATCCTTGCTCCACACCAACATGGTGGAGGCCACCTGGCAGCCAGCCTTGTGAGCACAGAGGGGGTAGAAAAGGAACACCACCCCCGTCTCAGTATCGCTCACCACTGCCCCCAGGTTCAGCCCATCTGGAGTCTCCCCATCATCCACAATGAATGCTGTCGGAGACCATGTGCTGCCTGAAGAAAAAAGGTAAGACAAATGGGACTACATCAACTAAGAAGCTTCTGCACAGCAAAAGAAACCATCTTCAAAATGCACGGTATGGGAGAGCATATTTGCCAATGATACATCTTATAAGTGGTCAATTTCCAAAATGAGACATATGAAAAAGTACTCAAAGTCACTGATCATCAGAGAGATGCAAATTAAAATGATAATAAGGTACCACCTCACACCTGCCATATTGGTTACCATCAACAAATCAACAAATAAGTGCTGGTGAGGGTGTGGAGAAAGGGGAACCTAGTGCACTGCTGGTGGGAATGCAGACTGGTGCAGCCACTATGGAAAACAGTATGGAGGTTCCTCAAAATATTAAAAGTGGAACTACCATTTGACCCAGTGATCCCACTTCTAGGAATACATCCTAAGAATCCTGAAACACTAATCAGAAAGAACTTATGCACCCCTATATTCATAGCAGCGCAACTTACAATAGCTAAGATCTGGAAACAGCCCAAGTGCCCATCAGTAGGTGAGCGGATAAAAAAGCTGTGGGACGTTTACTCCATGGAATACTACGCAGCTGAAAAAAGTAGGATCTTGTACCCTTTGGCACAGCATGGAGTGACCTGGAGGGTATTATGCTAAGTGAAGTAAGCCAGGCAAAGAAAGACAAATATCACATGACCTCACTTATATGTGGAATCTAATGAACAAAATCAACTGAAGAACAAAACAGGCGGAGGCATGGAAGCATGGAACAGACTCACAGATCTCAGAGGGAGAGGGGGAGGGGGTATGGGCAGAGAATAACCAAAGACCTTAGATGCATATGTGCATAATCCATGGACACAGACAATAGTGGGGGGAGGGCCTGGAAAGTGAGGGAACAAGGCGGAGGGGGGCAATGGGGAAAAATGGGGGACATCTGCAATACACTCAACAATAAAGATAAAAAAATTTAAAAAAAGAAGGGAAGAAACCCAGGGTGTGAGCACTCTGGAGGTGCCCTTTCCACCACTCTTATAACCTCCACCTCCTGCTAGAGACCCAAGGCCTTACAAGGGCCCCAGGGCCTACAAGACATGCCCTTCCTTACCTCTTTTTAAAGTATGCTTTCTTAATGATTTCAGAGAGAGGGAGGGAGAGGGAGAGAGAGAGAGAAAAACCATCAATGATGAGAGTCATTGATCGGTTGCCTCCTGCATGCCCCACACTGGGGGATCAAGCCCGCAATCCGGGCATGTGCCCTGACTGGGAATCGAACAAGGATCTCCTGGATCATAGGTTGATGCTCAACCGCTGAGCCATGCTGGCTGGGCCCTTCCTTACCTCTTGGACCTTAACTACTCTGCCCTCACTCCATCCAGCCACACAAACTCCTCCCTATTCCTCAAACACTTTCGTCCTCAAAGCCTTTGCACATCTGTCTGGCACTTTCTCCAGGCTCACTCTGTTACTCCTTTGAGTCCTTCTCTGGTCAAATGTCACCTACTGAAAATTGCAATTAAACTCTGGCACTCCCCATTATCTCTAGTTCTGTTTTATGTTTCACCATTGCATTTGTCACCTTCCAACACAAAAAATACTTGTAGCTTATTGTCTCTCTCACCCCAATTGAACATAAGCCCTGCGAGGGCAGGGATTTTTTGCTGTTTTATTCGTAACTGTATTCCCAGAACCTACAACGTTACTAGGTATATAGTAAGTGCTTGATAAATGTTTGAATGAATGTTCAACTCCTTGGTGATCCCAATTTCGAGGTTGCTGTCCTGAGCACCCTCTCTCCCCCTCAGGGACTCAGGCCTCCAGCCCTCTAAGTTGCCCCATTCTCAGGGCCCTTGGGCAGGTCAGGCTGGCTCCCGGCCCCCAACCTAGCACGGGCTCTTGGGACGCAGGCATCTTTATACCTTGGTCTAAGGACCTCCGCAGAGCGATGAACTTAGCCCCCTCATCCGAGGTGGACATTTTCCTGGCCTCGGCGAAGGCAAGAAGGGTGCCCCGAGGAGTGGCTGTGATCAGCGGGATGCGGAAGGTGTCCACAGAGCCGATCTGCCTGCCGCTCAGCCACAGCAGCTGCTCCATGGTCACCAGCGGCTGAACCTGTGAAGGGAGGAGGAAGGGTCAACGCGGAGAAACTGGACGGACGAACAGCGGCTCGGAGCCAGGTTCCCCTGCGGAGCAGGGTGTCGGGGTCTCCATGGGGGCGGGGTCCTAGGGCCGGGACGGGTTTGGAGCGCAGCTGGGGGCTGGGGCGGGGCGAGGGGCTGCGTGGAGAGAAGGCGCCCTCAGCGAGAAGAGGGGCCCTCAAAAGGGGAAGGAGCTCCCATGAGGGCAGGGACCCGAGGACCGAGAGGGGTCTGAGCGGACGGAGGGGCCGGCGCCGGAGAGTCCCGCGGAGAGGGACTCCGCCGCCCGCCCGGGGTGGGGCCGGGCTTCGCGAGGGGCGACTCACCAGGCTGAAGTCATTCTCAGCCCCAGCCCCGGTTACTGCCGCAGACAACAGCAGCGGGAAGACTGCGGCAAACTGAACCCCAGAGACTCCCCGGAACCCCAGCATCCGCGGCCCCTCAGGTCCTCCCGGGAGCCCCGTCCCAGGTCGCTCCGCTGTCATTTCTCCCCAGGACTAAACCCGCGCTGGAGTCAATCAGCTGACCCCGGCCCTTTAACCACTCAGGTGTCACCTCCACACCCGCCCCACGCGCGGCGGCTCCGCAGGCGCTTCTGCGGCTCTAATTGGCCCGCAAACACCCTGACTCTCCACGTGACCCTTCAGCGCCGCTAAACTAGCCCTCCCATTGGCCCCCTTCGAAGCCGCGAGCGCATGACCCGGGCGGCAATGAGGAAGGGGCGGTGCGATTCCTCAGAAGCCTTTTGATTGGCCGCAGCAGCTAGGTCGCGGCGTAGGGGCGGGGCCTACTTTAAAGAGTGCCCGGCGGGGGAAAAGGGTCTCCTGTCGTCACGGGCCGAATGAAAGCAGTAGCAGGCTTCTTGCGAAAACAAAATACGTACCAATCTTTAATAAAACCTTTTTACTACAAAACCGAGACCGGAAAGGCAGGGGGGCGGGGAGGCTGTGCAGCGGGTTGCTGCCCCGGCTCAGGGCCGTGTCTCTCGTTTCTTGCCCGTGCGTCGCGGGGGCGCGTCGTTCTTCTTGCCGAGAATCCTCAGAAGGCCCTTGGACATGTAGTAGGGCCGGTCCGGGGAGCCGTCGTTCCGCTCCAGGTCTTCCACTGAGTCGCAACGTGGGCCGGTTAGAGCGGACCGGGGCCTCCCCGCTCGCGGGAAAACCCGGGTCTGAGCCGCGAGCGGCCTGGCCCCGGCCGCGCCCCGCCGGCCGTTTGGGGGCAGGGTTGGTAATTTACCGGGCAGGTTATGCAACCCGTTCCCTCGTTAGTAAAGTGGGCTCCACAGTGGGCGC